CTTTACTGACGTTTCCACATCAGGGCTGGTAGTGAGTCACTTTTTAGTGACTTGGTCACTTTTTTCAAGCCAGTCACTAAAAAGTCTCCTTTTTAAAGGCCAAGTCACTAAAGTCCTCCTTGGATCTGATTGTCCCATCGATGCCCACAGTTTTGTTCTAATTTTCGAACAATTCGAAGGTGTTGTGCTTCAATAGAGCTTTTTGACGTTTTAATCGTCTTTCTCTATCTACTAATTTGGCTAAATTAAATTCCCTGAATTTTCCAGGTTTTCCAGAATTTGAACGGATAATTTCTATGTATATAATAAGAAAGCTATTTTTTATACATGACAATCAGTTTTAAGGAAACAGCTTTTCAATTTTTCGGGTTGGAAAATTTCTCGACTTCCTTGGACATAGAGTTATGATTGTACTTGCCGCATAATAAAACTAATGCAAAATGGTACAGGCATCGAAAGCTCTCAATTAATAACTGTGGAAGTGCATCTAGAACACTAAGTTGAGAGCACGCAATAAACTAATATGCGATATGCAATAAGCTTGAAATGCGAAGAATAAGAAGAAGAAGAAGAAGAAGATCGTATTCCATGTACAAGTTCAAGATATTGAAAATTGCAGCAAACTGCGGAAACATAAGGGAAGTTTACATTCTGAAAATATGGGCAACTTTCTGGAAGCTTTAAGAACTTCAAAGCAGTTCTATTGGCTTCTGGAAAAAATGCAGGAACTTTAAAAAAGCTCTAGGTTCCTCAGAAAAGCTAAAACTAGAGATCTTTTGGGGAAATTCAGAGATCCTAAGGGCAGTTCCCGTTACTTTAGTGCAGACTTCTGGAGCAGTTTAAAGGTCTATTAGCGTGAATTTATAAAAATTCAGGAAGTTCCATGATATGCTGAAGAAAGACAAATCATGAACCCTTAAGATGTTTCAAGTATTTAAGGGGCCTCCCTTGGCTCAGTCGGTAAAGGCACAGCTACAAAGCAAGACCATGCTGGAGGTGGCTGGGTTCGATTCCAGGTCCAGTCTAGGAATTTTTCGGGTTGGAAAATTTCTCGACTTCCCTGGGCATAGAAGTATGATTGGACTTGCCACACAATCATATCAATGCAAAAATGGCACAGGCATCGAAAGCTCTCAATTAATAACTGTGGAAGTGCATCTAGAACACTAAGTTGAGAGCACGCAATAAGCTTATATGCCATACGCAATAAGCTTGAAATGCGCGGAAGAAGAAGAAGTATTTCAAGGAACTACAGAGACCTTCAGAGACTTTATGAAAACTTCCAAAATATGGCAGGAACTTCCTAGAAGTCCAGAGAATTTTAGGGAAGTTTAAAGGAGTTCCATTTATTTCAGAGTAGAACCGAGGTCTTCAATATAATTGAGAGCTTCAGGGAAACTCCGAGAACATCATGTCAGATCAGAAAATCAAAGCGCAGTTCAAGCTATTTCAAGAAAATTGCAAAAACGTTACAGAAGTTTCGAGAAACTCAAGGAATTTTAAGAAACTTCAGAAAAGCTCCGAGAGAATTTCTGGAACACAGTAAAAATTCTATGAACTCTGGAAAATGTGAAAGTATTTTAAGTTATCATGTGATAGGGGAAATGGCTCTAATGTTGGCCTATGGATTTAAGATTGGGCCCATCGCTAAAAATCTGCTATTTATCAATTTTATCTAGATGAACGCGTCATTGGGACGGTACTAATGGATATTTTTGGTCGCTATTGAAAATTGAGTCGATTACTGAATTTATGTATGGGCCCAAATTAGGGGCATTTAGGCCGACATTACATCCATTTTCCCTATATCATGGAAATTTCAAGAGCTTCAATTAACAGCGAAAATGTAATTAAGTTTTTTTTTATTTATTTGATAAGGCTCAATCGAATTCACTTTATAGAGCCAAGGATTCTTGTTCATTATACAAAACATCGTAGAACTATATTCAAAATGTATAGCACAACAAACGCTTTATCTTCCGCAATCCCATAAGCCTCTTCCATCAGAACGGGATCCACTTCCAGTGGTTTTATTGTATGTCCCGATACTGGCAGAGAGCTTCCATTGCAGCAATAGACGCAAAACCCGTGGTAATCACTCAGACACTCATCACGAAACGGTTGCTTTCCAAAGTCGACGACGCATCGACTGAAATGCTGATGAAGAACAATGAGGAGGACCACACAATGGTTGCTACCGAGTAAACAGACGATCGCGTGACACACATTGAGAGTGGCCTGCTTCTGTCGACAACCGAGTGAACACTCGAGTTTAGCTAAGTTGATTAGAGAACATCAACATTACATTAATTAATTAAAATAAATTGCGAGATCTTTTTGCAAGCACCAACATTTTCAACAAACTTCAGAGAACATCTAAGAAATTTGAATATTTTATAATAATAATTATATAAGTTTCATGATACTCCGCGCAGTTCCGAGTACTTTCTGGGCGATCAGATAACTTCAGAGCAATCCCGGAAAGGAAATTCGCAGCGGCTTCCAAGGAGTTTTATGATCCGAAAACTTCAGAAGCGCCAAGGAATTATGAATATATGTCAGAAAATGTGCCGGAACATTAAGCAAATTTAGAGAACCTCATGAATGTTCCCAGGTAAGTTCAGGGAAAATTGGTGATTTAAGGCAAAGTTCCGTGAGCGCTTATAAATTTTATGAAACTTAAGGAATTTTGGAAGCGGTATTGTAGTGGTAAGCGTGATTGCCTAAAACCCCAAAGGGCCTGGGTTCAATCCCAGTCGGCACCGCCGGGATTTTCTGAGGCATAAAATCTCTGATCACGCCTTCCTTCGGTAAGTAAAGCCGTTGCTCCCCGGTCCATGAGTTGTTGGGTCGATAGGTAGGGTCCAGGTATGGGAGCTGCCGCCCTGGTATCGGTAGCATTACTACTGTACGGAAAACAAGATCGACGGTAAACAAATCAATAGAAATTGTGGAAAAATCAAGGTAAATCTATTAATTTCAGTAAAATTGTGGGTTCTTATAAAAATACTTAAAAATTCAGGGTAGCCTTTAAGGAAATTCTGACGTCTTTTGGGCAGTTTTAATAACATCAGTGAAGCCTAGACAATTGATGAAGTCATCAATTAGTGTCGATTGCAAGAGCTTAAAGAAGTACCAAAGTGCAGATATGTTGAGAAACATTCCGAGAACTTTATAGAAGTCTATGGAACTTAGGGAAGATCCGAGAACTTCTGAAACTGGGGGAGCATTTCAAAGAAGTTTAGTTAGCTCCAAAAATAGGGGAATTCAGTTCTATTAGTTTCAGAAAATTAGCGGGAAATTTCAAGAAGTTCAGGACTTCAGAGAAGTTAGGAAAATTATTTAGGTCTTCACATAAGTTCAGAAGTTGACGGAAGCCTAAACATTTTTATGACAGTCCAATTAATTTCAGGGCAGTACAAAAAGCTTCATGAGAACTGCAAAAACTTTAGAGAGGTTTTGATAACTTCAGGATAGACCAGAGTATCTCAGAGCAGTACCGTTAACATAATAAAAATTGCATACATTTTAAAGAAGTTGCGAGAATCTCAGCGAATTTTTAAAACTTAAGAGAAGATCCATGATCGTTAGGAAAATTAAGGAAACTTTGGGAAGTCCGAAAAAGTGCAGGGAAGTTTATGAATATGATTAGAATTATTGTGAGTATCAGGCTAGTTTTAAAACTAAAAAAGAACTTTAAGGAAGTGTTATTAACTTCACGAAAATTTTGGCAAATTTCAAGTAGTTCTGAAGATCTGTTAAATGGACTATTATTCCATATTCGACGAAGATTTCTCATGAAAATTCACTTAGAGCATTTCGATGGAACTATCTTCCGAATTAAATTTTCTTTTATTTTTCCTTGAAGTTCTCCTCAGTAAGAAACCCTTTGGAAAGATTTTCTGAATTTTCATTGAATTCATTTCAGATTTCCTTTTGAATCACACTCGTTCCCTTGAAATTCTACTCATTCCCGGTTTTCAGGTTCTTCCATACCGTGAATTTGAAGTTTCATATCGTACATAAGGGTTTATTAGATACTAATTGAATAAGTCTAAAACGTAAGGCGTTTCTTCTCTTAGGTCACTTTTGAGTCACTTTGTTTTACAACTATAAGCCACTATTTGGTCACTTATTTCTTCAACATGGTCACTAAAATCACTATTTTTGATAGCATTGACCGCTACCAGCCCTGCTACATGCCAGGGATCCCCATAGAGCTGGATACATTTTCAAAAAAGCTATGTATATGCGGTACAAGGTATAGAAGAGCAAACCGATGATTCCAATAATGGCTCTGCTTCCAAATCAACGAATTACTCCTTTCCTATATACTGGTGTTGACTTTTTCAAGTGGTTGGCTGTCACACGGGTTGATATGCTCTATTCACCTGCTTCGAAATAAGAACTATCCACCTTGAAGTCATTCATAGGCTGGCATCTCAGGCATGTCTAATGGCCATCCGGCGTTTCGTCTGCAGGCGTACAGTGCTACTTGTGTGGTAATTTTTGCCAAGATTTGAACTGCTGAGATTTCACTAAAAGTGACATTTGGTTTCGGAGTCATTAAAATCATTGCAAGCTTATTTCACGTGTTAAGTTTATCTACACCCAGCAAATTTTGGAACCACGTCGAAACGACTGTCTTCATACAAGCGTTCATACGAAAATCGCTTCCTTTCGACTTCCCCAATGGAGTCCCCAGCATGTTTCGAACAGCCTATCGTAGCAACCCACCTGCTACCATTAAATTTGTTTCCACGTTGATACACCAATCCCGAAGTTGAATCTCCCTACCGAAAGCAGTTCTGTTTGTCATTTTTCTGCCCGACGGTATTCGATTACATTGTCACATTGCCGCCTTAACTTTATCACCAGTCACGTACCATCAACACTTTAAAAGATAGATTAAACAGATTGGCCACTTTTGTCAATACCATTTCACTGCCCAAACAAACAGCACTAATAACAACCCCCGTTCTATCTTTCTCTATTTACAGGTAATTTATTCCAATTTGAACATACACACCAACTTCTAGCCAAGAGTCCCCAAGGGCACGCAACCGAGAAGATCGGAGAGCCGTACTCGGGCTGAATCATCATCCGAGTGTGTCTTGAATTATTTGCCCACGAGCAAAGGAGGGAAAGAGCGCATATCGCAGCCCCCGATAAGAGCAGCAGACCATTATCATCTCCGAGGCGATAGAGAGAAAGAGAGCTGCAAGGCAATACGTCGTAGACACCCCGATCGTCAAGATCTGCACCGTCGATCGTCTAATCCCGGATCTGGGCAGAAATAGAAGAAGAAAATTCGAAATATTTCTATTATTTGTGATATAGTATACATCATAATTGCTCGTTTTTAAGAAATTGATTTTAACCAACGGTGAAGCAAGAAGCAAATTGATTTGTGCATAGTGGAAGTGATTTTATCTTTCGTAAAAAAAAAAGCAGAAGCGCAGCGAATCGCCGTAATTTTCTCGATAACAAGTGCTACTACTACTACTACAACTACTGCTTCTACTAGAAACCAACGCAAGCTACTATTTGGTTTCTCTGTTTTCTTTCGGCGTGATCAACTTGTACCCGTACACGTAAAGAAACGTACTATACGAAACCAGCATTCGGTTGTACCCAATTCCAAGTACTACGAAAACAAAACAACAACAGAAACAGCCGGAAACTTTTCTTTCGATCTAGCGGACACCGTTTAATGACAACCGTCATCATGCGTCAGAAGGACATCAGACCAGCGCCGGCCCGGATCGAATTCAAGGGCATGAAGTTCCTGATTACCGACCGTCCTGCGGATAACACCATCCACGGCTACATTGCGGTAAGTGTGCAGCACCTGGTTTTTTTCTCTTCTGTCTGTGTTTTTCCGCTTTTTGATACACATTTCGTGGGACGCTCACAGACTGGCTTTATCAGGGTGGCTTTATCAGCTCCGGTACATTGGGAGGCAGCTTATTCGGTGGGACGTGAAGAGATTTGAACATTTAAATGTTCCAATTCAAACGGAAATCGTTATCAATTTAACGGCAGAATCGATAGAAATTCCATCATGGAATAAAAACTAGAAGTAGTTCAGTGTTGGGAGGAATGCTATACATGAAGCTTAGTGCGACAATGTATTAGCTACAGAAAGTTTTGAAGAGGATAGATTGATAGTTTCCGCTAGAGTGTGGACATTGAACAGAAGTTGAAATCGAGCCAAAGGGCCATTAGTGCGACAATACCAATCAAACGCACGCTCTTTTACCTAGCTCATACATTGATGGATGAGGGGATTTGAGGTATGTCCTCAAATCCACAGGCAAAAGAGGATGCGTTTGACTTGCTCATATACTGTCTGTGGCAGTGGAAAAGTTCACGTGACGTTTATCACTAGCTAAAGCCACACAGCATTTCCCGTACAAAGTAACAACACACTTTGATTGAATAGAAGTAGTTGATGAGAACTGGTTTGGTTATGGGTGTGAACAAGAGATTAAACCTCTTGATGCAACTCACCAACAATGTCATATCAGTCTGGAAAAACGGAAAATGTATCACCATGTGATGAGTGGAAATACTTGTTAGTAACAGTTCCCGAAATTACTTTCCGATGGAAAGTAATACCAGCAGAAGTGGCGCCAATGGTGTAGTAGTAAGCGTGATTACCTCTCACCCCAGCATGCCTGGGTTCAATCCGAGTCGGCGCCGCCGGGATGTTCTGAGGCATAACATCTCTGATCACGCCTACCTTCGGAAGGGAAGTAAAGCCGTTGGTCCCCGGTTCAAGGGTTGATCGATCGATAGGTAGGGTCCAGGTGTTGGAGCTGCCTCCCTGGCGTCGGTAGCATTGGTGCTCAGCACCGAAAGCAAGATCGACGGAAAACAAATTAAGGAAAAAAAAATAATACCCGCAGGGCGTCACAATATCAGCTTCAATTGACAAAATCGTTGCCAAGAGAATGCTAGCTTTCCTTTTTCTGTTCAACAACTTCGCAGCATTTTAGCAGCTCAGTCGGGATCCCTACAGAAGGCCGAATCACAAAAGGTCGAAGCACAAAAGGCCGAAAATCGAAAAGGCCGAAAGCCAAAAAGGGTAGGGAAATGAGAGATGCAACTTTTTTTTTTACTTAAAAAGGATCTTATTTTTTTGTATTTGTGTGGTTTATATGTATAACATATCAAGTGACACAAACGCGTCTTTTCAACTTTAGTTCTTTTGAAATTTCAATTATTATTCAGGCCTGTTTTAGAGAATGACCACCTTGGTGGGATTGATTGATTTTAAATTGGAAAAAATGAGACTACTCATAACTACTATTTACAACTTCAACTAACCTACATATACTATATACACCTAACCTACTATATACAAATTGCTTATCAAAACATCTTCTGATGTATTGCATTTCTGCACAACCCTAGTCTTAATGTCAGCAATTTTGAAATCTAATTCAGGAACGTTCGCCTCTTGGTGGAGGTCTGAAATTCTTGTGTCAAGGGACGGTCAATTATCATCCTCAGCACTCTATTTTAAGCGACCTGGATTTTGTTCCTGTTAGTCGGTGTACATGATTCCCACACCGGAGCTGCGTAAAGGGTCGCAGGTGCTATGATTTGTTTGTAGACACCCTTGAGAGGCGGGATGTGCGGCAAATCAGCGGATTCAGACACCTAACCAAGGCGGAACACTTGACTACGGTTTTCTCTACATGCGAGCGGAATAGGAGCTTTTCATGCTGAGCCTCTTCAAGATCAAGTTGAATATACCGTCAAACCCGGTAGCCTTCATGTTCTTGGTGCATTTCAGTGCTGAGCAAATCTGTTGTACTGTATTCATATCCACCGGAGGCACGACACAAGGGGAGGCATCTAGGTTTTGAACGCATCACCCATCTAGCGGACTTTGGATAGTCCAAGCAAATGCGATGAAGCGACATGCTCGCCGATCGTCATCATTTTCGACTCTGAGAGGTGGCACATGTTTGGGATGAGTTTTCAGGATTTGGCTACCTTCCAGAATGGTCTAGAGCGGTCGTCCGGATTCAGGACAACACGCTTGAAACTTTCATTTCGGAGTAAGGCCATTCCATTGGAAGCAATCTGTCTGTTCAGATCGGCCATTTCACGTTTTCACAGCCACGGATATAGCCTGTTGGAGTCCTTCCAACGTCCGGTCGATGTCATCTACGGTGTCGAGCGGTGGATTTTCCTCGATGTTGCTGTCCACCATTCGTCCGTACTGCACCCAGTTGACATGGTAGTAGTCTTTACGCAGGCAGCTTATAGCAGGAACCACGTTGACACCGACTTCAGTCACCACCGGTTGGTGGTCGGAGCTGAGATCGTTGTGCGCCTCCGGCTGGGATAGTTCGATGTTTGACAGGAAAAGTTCGTCTGGAAACTGCAAAGTGTACAGTCCATGTTGTGCGTGGTTGAACAACAGACATCCGTACCGGTTCCGCTAGTAGTTCCGCCAAGCTTCATGGCGGGCATTCACGTCGCCCCCAACGATGAATCGGGAGCTAGTACGGGTGATGGTGGTCAGGTCGTTCTTGAATTGGATTCCTAGTCCGTTGCTTGCTGTACACTGCCGTGGGCAGTAAACAGCGATAAACTGGACGTTTCCAGTTGGTGATTCCACCTCCACACTAACGGCCTCGAAGATAGAAGTGCGGATGTGGGGCAGAGTGCAGAACTTGATTCCCTTTCTGACGATGACCGCTAAACCCCCCCCCCCCATCCCTGGAGCTGGTGCGATCAAGCCGGATAATGTTGTGGTCATTCAACCAGAAGCTGCCGCCGGACTCGGTTAGAAGACCCACGTCGATGCTGTGCTTGCGGAGGAAGTCGGTAAACTCAATCTTTTTTGCTCTTACAGAGCAAGCATTCCAGGTGACGATAGTTAGCAGTTTAGACGCCATACTGGATTATGAACTTACCGAGCACTTGGATCTGTTCGGGCTTATTGCGGCACTTACGTAGAGCACCAGTCATGTTGATGAAAATCTCCATCAGTTCGTCTGCTGAGAACAGATCGGGATTGTTTGTTTGAGCTGTTGGTTGCCTCCAGAATCCAGGGGGGGATGGAGAGCTTTGTTCAGCAGAAGATCCGGACGTTCCTTGAGGGGGGGGGGGGTGGCGGATCTCACCCGTGAATTCGGTTGTGCATGAAGAGGCGGAAAGGGGGCTTTATCCTTCCTTCGTCCTGGTTGATTGTTGGTGGACGCCTGTTTTCGGATGCGCTTGAAATCCTCGCGTTTAGGGCACTGCTTGTCGGATCCTTGGTGAGCACCACCACAGTTGGCGCATTTGAACGCCACAGCTTCATCCGCAGCACATTCAGAGGTGGCGTGGTTTTGAGCGCAATTGCCTCAGCGTGGCTTAATGTTGCAGTTTCGGGTGCCGTGTCCAAAGTTCAGACACCGTTGGCACTGAGTCACATCGCGATGGCCGCCACGATATGGATTCCAGCGGACGATGATGGAATTGATGGAGCGGATGGCTTTCAGCGCGTTGAGCGTCACCGTTCCCTTCTGGAAGTGTATCCGGATACGCCTTCACATTTTCGTCCTTCCTTGTCATCCGATAGACGGCGCTTGGGGCCAACTTGTACCGGTCCCTGATTTCATGTTCGAAAAACTTCGGGTCGAAATTTGGTAGGCCCCTGATGACGACCTTGAACGGTTTTTCACCGGGGATGTCGTGGGTGAAGAATTTCACCTTGGAAGTCCTCAGGTGGACGATGACCAAGTTCTACTCCGGTTTGGTACGGAGCACCACCTTGGTGCCGACTCTGTCCAATTTGAATTCGGTTTTGGCGCCCAGCGACGCCAGATCCGCGATGAGCTCGTTAAGATGGGTGGAGGTAGCTTCACTCTCGGCACATTTTCTTTTTCGGCAGGTTTACCGAAATCTCCGTTCGTCGTAGAGGCTTCATCGCGACCAATCGTGCCATCGGACTGGCCCCGATTCTTGCTGCGTTTTTCCGTCACAGCTGGCTGAATATTCCCATCCATGGGGAGAACAGCAAACCTGTTGGATGTAGGTACACCCCAGCTTCCTTAACCGGGGTTCTTGTTCTTCACCGGGCTTCGCGAGCGATGCTTCCCAATTTCGGAGCACCCACACACAAAAAACCGCGAAAGAGAGAGCGCGAACACTATCGCCACGAACTTTCCGAACAACTCGAGAGAACGAGCTAACACCGAACTGAACTGCTTGACGATCAAGCAGAGAATCTGATCACGTTCACTGAATTGCAGTCTGTTTTATACTTTGCAGAATACCAAATTAGGCCCCTCCCTTTTGGAGTATTTTTCGTCAGAGCGTTCCTAGTTGCAAGTGTATGGCAGAATTCACACCAGACCAAGACGTGCTCCGACCAGCATTGAATTGAATTGTTGTGAAAGAACCACTAGCGCTACTTGACTCTTTCACACCAGTGCAAGTCGGTGTCGACCGTATGACGGCGGCCCAGTCATGTTGCCTATTGCGGGAAGGCTTTCCTCCGGTCGATGTGGGTGCATCCGTCATTGTCTTCGTATTTGTGTGATGCATACTGTTCCACTCAAACGTCGTGCCCAACGCTTATCCATCTGTTGCTCGAAAGTAAATGACGAAAAAAAAAACGATTTGGCAAGATTTCGCGTTTTTATTAACGCTGCTTTTCTCCTCCCTTTCATTCATTCATTGGTGAAATGGTGAGTGGTCAACCGAGCGGTGAGCTCGCTCATGTGAGCATGCGCAATGTGTCGTGTGTTCGATTTGCGCTCTATCGTAACGTCCGTGTTTGGGATTTTTCGTTACATGTCTGAATTTTGATTTTTTAATGTGACCCCCAGTATAGAAATTAAAGACGTAGTGCTACGTCAAAACCAAGTGATGAAACCGAAACTGTCACTTGGGAAACCACTCCTCAAATTGTCACTATTTTTTCAGACACCATAAGTTTACTGATTCCCCGAACTTTCGTCCTCATTCTACATTCCAGGAGCTCAAGAAACACAACGTGGCGGTGGTGGTTCGCGTGTGTGAACCAAGCTACAAAATCGAAGAGCTCGCCAACCAGGGCATCATGGTACGAGACCTGGCCTTCGAAGATGGAACCTTCCCGCCACAGAACATCGTCGAGGAATGGTTCGAAATTTTGAAGCAAAAGTAAGTGACCCCGTATAGGTATCTGAATGTTGTTCGTTATTCATTACGCTCCCTCGTGCATGTTGCTGATTGCAGTACCTACTTGATTCATATGTGCATATGTTTAAACACAGTAGCTGCTTATCTGCGCTTTGTTAACCCCCCCATGTGTGTGTACTGCTTCGGCAACCGTAAAATTGTCAGTTTCTTGTACAGATTCCAGGAGGATCCGGAGGCGTGCGTAGCGGTGCATTGCGTGGCAGGCTTGGGCCGAGCGCCGGTTCTGGTGGCACTAGCGTTGATCGAACTAGGACTTAAGTACGAGGCAGCTGTGGAAATGATTAGGGAGTAAGTTTGATCGAGTTCGAATTTTTGGCTCAAATTCTAATGATTTTTTGTTCTTCTCTATCTCGCGATTGCAGCAAAAGGAGGGGTGCTATCAATGCCAAACAACTATCATACTTAGAAAAGTATAAGCCCAAGTCACGACTAAAGCACAAAAATGGTCATAAGAATTCGTGCTGCGTCCAATAAAACTATCATAAATCCCACCAGTTAGAGTGTTCATTTTAAACGAAATCTAAACCCGGAAAGAAAGCCGACAGTTTGTGCAGGAAAGTATAGGCACTGAAAGAGCAGGAGAAGGAAATACAAGAACGACGCGCTGCTTCACATACACACGGAGGACTCAGAGAGCGGGAGAGAGAGAGAAAGAAAGAGAGAATTAGCGCCGGAAAAGAGAGAGAGAGAGCAAAAGTCAGAGGAGAAAGTCAGAAAGGCAAGCAACAGAAGGACAGATCGGCAACTTTACCAATGTTTAAGAGAAGTATAACAGTATGAAAGCAGGAAGTTAGCTAAACAGAAAACAGTAAGATTGCCAGAACCACATCTACACACACACACAAACACAAACACATAACAAGAGATAGGTCAAATGCGCAGGCAAGCAAGTGAAACTATAAGGCAAATTATATATATATATACAAACACATAACTTAAACAAAACCAGAACAGAAACCCTAATTAAATAATTGCATATAATAATTACTAGTGAAAGGAAGAAGAAACGCAAGAATGCTATCCCCCAATATTGTACGAGTATATTATAAATTATTGAAAGCAAACTAGCAAGAAAATGCAGAAGAAAAAAACAATACTTTTTTAAAAGTAGCAATTTAAAACTAAAACAAAGAAAACGCAGAACGAGCGCGAAGCGAGGTTCTTTTACCTCCTGGTGTCTTCGAAAAACGCGCACGCACTCACACTGAAGCAAGCACCACCGGCGGACGAGGATAGTCTGTGTGCTGCAAACTGATGTGCTTTGGTGGGATCTATCCTATCGGCTGATGCGCCGTTGAAAGTCATTTATTTAGTCAAATTTACAGAAGACAGATAGAGATATTTTGTTTTGTTTTATAATAGCCAGGATTTATTAGTTAGAAACAATAGAACAATGATTGCTGTCCAAGAATAGTGTTACAAACCTACCACATAGACTGAACCACCAGATCAAACGATTTGAAGGGAAGGTTGTGCAATAGTTCGTCATAAGCTCCAGGTGGAAAATTTCGTAAGGATTGGGGCGGAAAGTTAGTTGAGAGTGGAATCTGCATTGGTTGGGAGGTCGTGTGGCATGGATGGTAGGAGTGAAACCCCGAGATGAGTAGCAAAATGTGAGCTTCACTGAGAACACTGTTGAATTTAGGACACTTCTACCAATGATGCACGTCCTGCTCCATCTCCGTCTCTAGATCTAGCTCTACAAACTTCCCTTATTATTATTCCCTGCTATGGCGATCGTTTCGAAAACGATCCGGTCGCAAGCTGGGCATGGCTGGGTAATCTGGTGTTACGTAAAATATTTGACGCTAATCCTGAAGATGATACGTTGTAGAATTATGTGTATAGCTTGTTTAAAATTGAAGATTAAGATTATTTCAAATGTGTTTGTGCAGAGGATGAGCGTTCGACTAGTGCTAATTCATCAGCCAAATCGAAGTCTTTGAGGTGCTCCATAGTGATAGGCTGCCAAAGCAGCCCACGGTTCGGTACACTGTGAATTGCACCTACCATAATCTCGTCGATTACGATGAGGAACAGTAGCGGTGCTTTTATACATCCTTGCCTCACACCTGCGACTACGAGGATAGGGTCGGACAAGGCTCCGTTATGCAGGACTCTGCATGTGAAAGCCTCGTACTGCGCTTCGATGAGGTTGACGATGTTATCCGGGACTCCTTTACGACTCAGGGCGTCCCACAAATGTTCGTGATTGAGTCGGTCGAAATTTTTTCCGTAGTCATTCTTTTTCTTCGCATTTCAAGCTTATTGGTTATCGCATATTAGCTTATTGCGTGATCTCAACTTAGTGTTCTAGATGCACTTCCACAGTTATTAATTGAGAGCTTTCGATGTCTGTACCATGTTTGCATTAGTATAATTGTGTGGCAAGTACAATCATGTGCAATGCCCAGGGAAGTCGAGAAATGTTTTAACCTGAAAAAATCCTTGACTTGACCGGGAATCGAACCTCACCAATTCCAGCATGGTCTTGCTTTGTAGCTACAGCAACAACTTAAATCCGTATCTCTTATGCATGATGAACCAGAACGAACAGAAGCCACAACTGTTTTACAGTGAATGTATTTTGCATTCACTGAAAAACAGTACCAAGTTCTGCCCGCTCTAGTTTGTGATGCATAAGAGATACAGATTTGAGTTACGGGCAAAAGTTGTAGCTAATAATAAAACCTACAAAAGCTCTATACATCATTTTGCGGAATGCTTTCGATGAAAAAAATTAGAGGCAAATGAATGTAAATGATTTTCCATGCCTGAACTGCGCCTTTCTCCGACTGACCTAAGAAAGGTCCCGTTGCCAATGAATACCAAATAGACGGACTCTTGGAATTCGTTGACCTGCTCCAGGATGATGCGGAGCGTGACAATATGGACAGTATGCCCCGTAACGTGGGTAGATCACCTTTTCGTGGTACGTTACGGGATGTAAGATCTACCACCGATTCCTAGTCCTGACTACTTCAAACTTTGGGAACAGGATTATTCAGTAATGAAACGAACACATCTTAGTCCTTGTTACTTTTTATGCCTTGTTGATAGTGACAAGACTCGGCTTTGTCCACCGAGGATAATCTTAAAACAAGGAAAAAATGAGTTAGTTAGTCTTCATCTATGTGATTCCTAATCTTCTATTCGTTGTTCCCTAGTTTGAAGTGGTTAAGACTAGGGTTCTGATGCATGGTCATTATCGGTGTCATTCCTTAATTTTGTTGCTAAGGAATCCAATTTTGACTGACAAAGGGGCGCGTCTTTGGAGGGTGTTTCAACACTCCGAAGGATATAAATAGCGGGACCTTTCAATTTGAGTCGGATCCTTGCGATAAATGCAAGAATGACAACTATAAAAAAATCAAATAGTTCATCATTTCTCAATAGTGATGGAGTAATACGACATGCACTAAACTATGTAAGGACACGGGATATACTACTATAGATTAAATTACTGGTCGCAGTGGTGTTAGGTTCCGAACAGAGGAAAAAAAATGGTCCACTCAAGATCTTCCGGCACAGACTCCTGCCTGCTGCCGCTGTAGAATCGCGTCGATCTTCTCCTGTATCCGATTCAGGATAACTTTGCACAGAACTTTTAGAACAATACACAGTAACATGATGCCTCGCCAATTGTCGTACACAGTCAGCTCCCCTTTCTTATGGGGGGGGGACCTTCACTAAGACACCCTGCATCCAGTCGGCCGGAAAGGGTGCAGTGTCCCAGATATTATAGAATACTTGATGCAACATTTGTGCGGATAGCATGGGGTCAGCTTAAAGCATCTCTGCTGATAGGCGATCGACCTCGGCGGAGCCTTGTTGCAGGATTTCATACTTCGATCTCCTGCAGTGATGGAGAGATGACGCGAGTGATGCGCCGTACCCTTGTCGGATCATGCTGGAATGTTGATGGCTCGTTGGACGTCGAAACGCGAAGAAGTTGTTGTAAGTGCTCAACAAACCAACGTTTCAGCTGGTATTCCGAGCAAAGTCGGTTAACAAAATGAAAGCAAATCAATATTAAAGTTTGCAGTTCCTATCATAAAGCTGGGTTTAGACAGGGCAAGTCAATTGATCAACTCAGTTGAATTAAATTGGCTTGAAAAGTTAAGGCTGGTTCAACTTTTTTCAATTCAAGTGAGTTGATCAAATCAGTTGAATGGCATGGTTTACACGTTCAATTCACGTTCAAGTCAGTTGAATTCAACTGACTTGATCAATTGACTTGCCCTGTCTAAACCCAGCTTGAATGAAAACTCATTTTGATTTCAATTGTCGCGACTTATGATATTATATTGTGCTTTCATTATGCAGTCAAGACTTTTCAAATGAAAGCAACTTAACTGCTGTTAACGTCTTCTCTAAAATATAATCCATCTGTCGTTGAACTAGCGATTATTGATTATTTGTTTTGTTTAACACATATTAGGTCATTCGTGACTTGCCCGGGGTGAGATTTGAGCTAAAGTCTTTCAGCGTGAAAGCATGGATGCTAACCATTTACGCCAAGCGGCGCCGGTGGTGTAGTGGTAAGCGTGATTGCCTCTCACCACAGCAGGCGTGGGTTCAATCCCAGTCGGCGCCGCCGGGATGTTCTGAGGCATAACATCTCTGATCACGCCTTCCTTCGGAAGGGAAGTAAAGCCGTTGGTCCCCGGTTCATGAGTTGATGGGTCGATAGGTAGGTCCAGGTGTGGGAGCTGCCTCCCTGGCGTCGGTAGCATTGGTGCTCAGCACGGAAAACAAGATCGACGGAAAACAAATCAAGGAAAAAAAAACCATTTACGCCAGGCCCGTATTCAGTTGAACATTATGAATGCAAAATCAGTAATCAAATTGATTTCATTGAAAGCAGGATTAGTTTTCCGTGTAAAAGTTTGCTTTGTTAACCGTTAAGTCAAGCAAAATTAGATCAACTGGAGTATTCCAAATATGTTACATCATAACAACAAATTTTGGTTTCAATTTGATCCTCACCTTTGCTCTGGGAAGCTGTCCAGGTGGGTCTCTCACTGGCATTTTCGGATTCACCCTTGCTCCACTCAGGCGTCGTAGAGGAAATGCTTGTCCCGTCTGCTCTAGAGCCGAATACAGTTCATTATTGGCTGTAAAACCGCGATAGAGGCCCCTATTACCGTTGTCACTTCACGGTGAAGTGACAACTTATCACTCACGGTGAAGTGATTCCCATTTGATTTACACGGCAATCACTTCACCGTGAGTGACAACTGGTCACTTCACTTCGTTTTCACCGTGAAGTGACACTCGTAATAAGGGCCAGAACCTTTTGCTTCTCTACGCTTCTCAATCTTCCGCCAGGTGTCATCACAGGGTGTCTACTACCGGAAAATCCGGAATCTTCAGGGAATTTTATTTGACCTGGCGATGGGCCTTATTACGGGTATGCTATAATCACATATTTTTCTTATCTATCTACATACAGACTACTGTGATCGAATGATAGGTGTAGTTGTGGTTGCTT